GGGACTCTTTCATAATAAACCAAGAGTCAGACCTTTTGTGTAGTTAGTAATTAACAGATAACATTCTGCAATTTAATGGAATACCTATTTACACAAGCACATAATAAAGCTGCCCTGGACTAAGCCATATTTCATATAGTGTTCTGACGTCATATGGCAATGGTATTCATTAGTGGTTTCTAGATCGAATCAGATCAAGCCTGAATTCTCTTTAGAAGCTAAAATGACTAAACTGAGGATATCATACCTTGCTCACATTATGAAAAGACAAGAGTCTCAGTAAAAATACAATAATGCTAGGAAAAGTTGGACTCTGCAGAAGACCCAACATGAAATAGATCAACTCAATCTGGGAAGCCACAGCCCTTAGTTTGCAAGACCTGAGCAAAGCTGTTAACAATAGGACATTTTGGACGTCATTAAATCATAGGGTCACAACAATTTGGAAGCGACTTGATGGCACTTAACACACACATTCATTAGAGGAATGAATACATAGCTAGAACCAATTGGCCATTTCATCTTCCAGTTTATAATACATTTACCATCTCCTATCTTTCTGTTCTGCATGGTCATAGCTCAACTGTGAGTATAAAATTAATGGGTCATGAACTAAACATTATGGATCACTTTAAAAATGACCCTCATTTACAAGTATACTGTTGAAGTTGGGTATTTTTTGTTTCACAGCTACAACAGATGCTGGCCACATTTATCGTCATTCAAAGCAATAGTTATGCTTAAAATTTAAAAAGCATGCTAAATCAGCTCAATATAAAGTAGACAAGAACACAAAGTGTTCACAATACTAGTCCAGAGAATAACTTTAGAAACAGTCTTGCACCAAATACTCAACGGGCTCCAGCTATAAAGGCAAGCCCGAATGCTGTTAAAGTATACCACAAAGCACCAGACTAATGGAGACACACAAATTGAGGTGCCAACTCTTATCAGGCTCTAATGCAGGAGAAATTGTACTGCAGTCTTCTTATACACAAGAGGATGCTCTTAGGCAGCTCAGAATACCACTGCCCCTTCAACTGAAGGCTAGCATATCATGCTTTGCTTCGTGCACTGGGAAATTTGTTGCTACTGCGAACATAGTACTAAGTCTCAATATATAGTGGCAGAAACGAAATATTCAAATATTCCAGATTACCTGTTTGAATTTGTAGATAAGTATTCCACAGGGAAAGTGTTAACAGGCCAAATGCTATTATATTTGTATCGCCCAATAGAAACTCTGCAACGGATAGCAGGGTCAGAAACAAAGCTTAACAAACTATAGATTTGTTAGACACTGGTACTGGGATCAAGATGTCATGTCTGCAGGTCAACTAAAAGTCTCAAATCAACTGTACAATACAGCCATGTCTCCTTTGCTAGGCTCTATTTATAAGCAAACTGTGTGCATGTATACAAACACACATAAACCACGCTTAATTCTAGATTTCTGTACCAGCGCTGCAAATCTAAAAGCTGTTCTGGGAGTCACATGAAGAAAGGGAGGAGGGAGAGTACAAAGCTCCTGTATTACATTCAAGAATGATGCCTTTAGCCACTTAATGAGCCAATTTGATAAGCCCATAAAAATACACATTGAGTCCTTCAACCTGCCACAAAGAGAGGTGAAGCGCTAATCTGAAGCATAACGATTGGACACTAAAGCAGCTTTTATGGTTTTTCAAACCTACACTGATGATAAAACCAAGACAATTTTGATTTAAGTAAACCCACTTTATAGGAAAGATGCCATTTAGCAAACCAAGTTATACCCTATCTTCTTGTATAGACACGCATAAACTAATCTCAAAAAAGAAAGCATTTGTTTAAAGCCCCACTTTATTGTAGCACAAAACAGTTGCATTAGCAGCACAGTGTCAAAAATAATGATTTCTACTACCTTATAGAATGTGTATAATGATTTAGTATTATTTTAGTTTGCCAAAGTGGTTGGCTGAGAAAAAATGATTTTATGGTGCAGCAGAAAGTAATATCAGTCACATTTTTAGGCATACTATTTTAAGCAATGCTACATAGTTACAAGAACATAAGATAAAAATGAAAATATAGCATGAGAAATTGGTAGAATGAGTTGGTCATCATACAGATTTTTTAAGTTAATAGGTCATATATATTTTAAGCTATATTCTTATGCCATTACACCACTCTCTGTGGCAGCGATTTTACGGTTGCACCCATCACTCTGTCAGAATTCCAAAGTTGACCAAAGGCTCAAAAAGTTTGAGGAACCCTGTCTTATGCAATCCCTCAAACCTCAGAAGACCACCTGCAGGTGATTCATGGGGGGGTGGGGGAAATCTCCACGTACTTGGTACTTTTAAAGATATAAACATAAAGAACCCTGAAGATAAAATTAAGTTACTGAATCATTTCTCTTACAGACTTGCGTACGTTCATGCCACAATAAACTTGTCAGACATCCTAGAATACAAACTCACTCCTTTTCAACAGTTTAAAAAGCATACCCCATTTTTATTTTCATATTAGGTGAGAATGCCATAAATGTTGCTTTTGATTATATGGTAAAAAAACTCAAAAAAAACAACAACACCCAACCCAGATTGTATACAACCAGCAGCCCTTACTACAGATAAAGCTACTTTAAATGATGGGATGTAATTTCCATTGATCAGTTACAAAATACTGCCAATGAATACAAGCAAATCTGCTGCAGAATTTGTTGCTGGGAGCTAGACAGAAATTGGCAGAGTAGCAGATTTGAGGATAGGCCTATTGCTTTCTTCTTCTTTTTGGTACCTCCAGTGTCCCCTCCAGAGTGTCTCCTGAAGGTACTTCAGATGGGAAAGGGAGATAATATTTCTCTCCATTACTCCTGGTTATTTCTTTATTACAGGTTGAGCTGTAGATTTCAAATCTTCTCCTTTAGAAAAGCAAGGCATTTCCATGTGCTTCTTTACTCATATAACCTCAAAAAGACAGGGAACAGCTTTGTGGCAATTACTTAGCCACTACAGCTTACATTTATAAGTTTTTCTCACTTCTTCAACAATGCAACAAAGGCCATTTACCTGTATCAACACATCAGCTCCATGTAATTTGCGAACATACCATGCTAATTATCATTTGCTATTAATGATGTATATTTTGACTGCAGTAAACCACATATTTTATTTTAATATTCTGCAGAATATTCCTCAGCAAAGTAATGACATCAGTGGACTAAGGTCATGGTCACATGGTCATTTTGAGCGGGTTTCACAATTGTTCCCTATCGCATTTAAAACGGCTGATTAGACAGCCGATTTTGTCTCCCGTATCGAAGCGGACTCACCCCCGCAATAATCCCGGTTTTCTAGCATGTTTTCCGGCACCAGGAAAATTTAGTACTTTCCTACTACTTGCGCTGTGAATCCACAATTTCTCCTATCTGGACAGCCATCTCTCGCTATGAATGCGATTAGGTCATCTGTACGTCCTCCTTGTGGTAGTTTCCCCTCCCCCCTGGCTTTCACCATTTGTGCACATGACCAATCCTGCGCTGAATATATTAAATTCATGAACGCTCAAGCGCACATAGACCAGTACTCCGTTGCACACCGGTAGTTCATTTTGTTCGCTGTTCGTGGAAAAACCCTGCATCCAAGCAGGAGCCGTGATTCGCGCATGTGCTTATGCACATATGTGCACGCGTGCAAAGATTTTTTTTTTAATTTTGCCGTGCCGCCACTTGGGCGGTGTGGCTGTCTGGACAGTGCCTGGAGCTTTGTTGCGCGATGCAAGTGTGATCATGTGTGATCATCCGATTCTGCTAAAAAATATCCCCGATCAAATCTACAGCGGGAACAAATCATGGTAAGTTTGTTGTGTGACCACACCCTTAGAAAGGTTTTAATCTCTTTCGGATGGCACTGTTAGTTACTCTAAAACAAGATTTAAAGTGTTTACATGAAGATCAGTTATATTAAAAGGACAAAAAATGACAAAAAGCCTGAAGTTTGATGTGATTTATCTATTTGTAAGCACATCAATAGCTAATTTAGTCTGATTTAAAGTTACAGAAGGGAATGCAAAATTGTTTGAACCACAATACTCTATTTTTACTTCACTTGCCACCACTAGTTGTAACCTTCTATACATTGACTTGGGAATATGCCCTACGTCTGGGCACGGTGGATTGATTTTCAATCATGATTTCACTCAGCAAGGAAAAGGGGTGACATTTATTTAAATCAAAATGATCTCTCATTTAGATGCTTCCAAAATGAATATGTACACTAAATTTTACAAGCCCTATAAATGTACTAATCTGAAGCTTAGGTTAGCAGTTTGTATTTAGGAATTATGTCACTTCCAAATGCAGGATTTTTAAATGTATCATTTGGACACTAAGCTCTTTGGCGTTATTGTGTTCAACAGGTTAAATGGGTTGCTAAGCAACATTACTTCAAGCATTCTTGAGTCATCTTCCTACAGCATCGAAGAGTTTATTTCAGGAAGGAAAATGCTTTCACTATAGGATGCATCTGATCATGGTAATTCAGAAATATGTAAGAATTAAGCTCTGTTCAGGAGTTCAAAGGTTTATTTACATAGCAGAGTACAGGATCATGTCCATTGACTGAGATCTCCAGCAAGCCCCGCAAGCACACAAACCCAGGCTTTGTATGCCATCAGGGATGCTTTAGGAAAGGGTTCAACTCAAAGGTTAATTGTGGAGACACCTGCATGAGTAGGGCCCTTTGCAAATGTTCAGCTGTATATGTGGACATCTGAAGGCAGAGCCAAGCAGCACAATCCTGCTCCCTTACACTTGAATACAGTGTAAGTTCTTCTGAAGCCTGAACAAGGCTTCAGTTGAAAGGAATACAATTATACCCAATATCTAAAAGGAGCTAAGGCATATTTGATATAATAATATTTCAATGAGATATGGGAGAAATGCAGCTTTGTACAAAGGAAAGGAATAGCGGACCTAATCCCCCCCAAATTTTCAATTAATTTTACCAGTTACTAACCTGTTTCATTGTGTGGATTTCTTTTTTCTAAAAAAGAGAAAGAGAAAATGAAGTGAATATCAAGAAGTTGCAAGTTTTCCTTCCTACATTCATTTTGCAGTCTTTTAATTTAAGGTAAAGGTAAATAAGAAAGAAGTCTCAAAGGTTAACACATAGATTTTATAGTGATTCAGTTTCATTTCTTTAACCTTCTGAATCACACTAACGTTCAATTTTAAAAGATCACATTTTTCTTATTTATGTGGTCTGGCTAAAATCCCAGAGTGCTACAGTAACTAACTTCTGTACAAATTCTAGAGACAGAATGAGAAGCACACTGGCAGGGTTTCCTAAACATAATCTGGTAATAGAAGACAACAGCTGGAAGACAGATTATATTTTGTCTTGATATTGTTATTCTTAGCTATACAAAATACCTGGATGGTGTGCTTTTGATCCGCTAAATATATAGTCTCTTCAACTTGTACATACTCAAAAATAGAATTAAGTGAACTGATAAAGTTTTAGGCTTTGAAGGCAGTTAACAGTATAATCCAATGATGACTGGCCCGCTGAATGTCAGGCCATTTTTATGGTAAACCAAAGTTAATATATAAATAGAAAATGAATGCTCTCTAATAAAGGTTTCAACAGCAGGAAACAACAAAGCATATTACCAGTAAAACTTGTTTGCATATCAGCTTCTTAGATAACCTTGAAGATTATCTCAGAGCATCCACTTGTCCAGTACTCAAGATTTAGACACATCCATTGTTTATCTCTGAAGAAACCACACTCTTACAGATTTTTAATTTCAATTTATAATCATCTTTTGTATTAATAAAGCAACACAAAACATCCAAAAAGATGCCTGTATTTGTCTACTGTAACAACACAAAGAGGACTGTAACATTTTTGAGATTAAGGTCTGTACCTGTAGGAGGCCTACAAGGGCTCACACAGAGCTCATTTCCCCATTTCTCACTCCCACTGGCTTTTCTTCTGACTCTACTGGCAGCCTGCATCTCCCCATGTACCTAATTTATTCTGTTTCTTCCCCTGGCATCCTCCTCCTGTTCCCTCCCCCCTCCCCTTCCCTAGATTGATCTTTCCTTTTTCACCTTCTCTAGTCCTCTCCCATCTAGCTTTACCTTCCCCTCCTACTAGCTGTTTTAGTCTGTTTCTCTCCCTTGCCCTGACACTAAATATGTTGAATAATTCTCATGTTACGTTCAATGCATATACAGCTGGATGTGGGGCTTCACCTTGGATTGTAGAAATATTCCCATTCCATCTGTCCCTGGTCCCACTGTGTAAATTTTTAAATCTGGCCAGTTCAGAACTAAATTAAATGATTCTGGAACAAGGGCTTATAGGCTAGAACACACTTGCAATTGTGAAGCAGAATCTAGTCCAAAGACATGTATCAAGATGCTGCAGCATACTTTTTTGTCAAAAAGGAAAAAAGAAAATCCAGCATCCTCAGAAACGGGAGTTGCATAGCTGAGAAGTAGCCACACAGAAGGAGTTCTTGCATATTCTGGGTTAAGTAGAAAAGCACTCATCACAGCCAAGGAAGTGGCATAGGTATAATTGGTGTTTGTTCCCTCATTCATACACATTCTTTCTACTCCACTTTACATGAAGTATCTTAACCCTCATTCTTTTATCCTTACAAAGCCTTTAACACAGAGTATTGCTTTTGCCATTTTATAGATAGATACCAAAGCCACCCAGAGGGTAAATACTGTGTACTATAATGCTGTTTACGGGACTTGTCAGTTCCTCTTGTTAATTGTATGATCACAACTCTACAGGGCTGTAAGAGATCTGATCCAAAAATCAGTACTGTGAAAGATTACAAATATTTTAACCATCCTATTGTTGTTTTTTAAATAATTACATCTTTGAGGAACACATGAGCCCTAAGTGGCCTTGTACAGCACAGTGTGGGACTTTGACCTAGGAAACCAGGATTCAAAATGCTGTTGAGCTGGAGTGGGGACTCAAAACACCTTACATTGTTCCCTCCTCACCCATTTTGTCCTTGCAATGCCCTTCCTGTGGCATATGTTAAGCTAAGAGAGAGTGGCTGGCCCATGGTCACCCAGCAAGCTTACATTTCAGAGAGCAGGGATTTGAACCCAGGTCTCCCAGGTCCTAGTCCAACACTAACCACAACAAGATGATGGCTCTCTACCCGGCTCCTCACCTGTATAATGGGAATACTGACCATTGGAAGGACAAAATAAGTATGGAAAACACACATATACAGCACTTGAAATATCAAAAGTTATAAATAATAATGTCTGTAGGGGGAAGACTGAAATTACTTGCTAATATTAGCTAGTGTGTTTTACGTGTTTCGCTGCTGGAAAGCTATAGATTGGGCAGCAGTATTATCCCCACAATTACAGAAGCTACTAACACAAAACAATGTTAACTAGCCAGTGATATGGATTTTCCTGAAAATTATGAACTGGAAAATTCTCCAAAGCCCTAAATTGAGTGTGACCCTGATTTAGCATCTTTACTTTGACTTATCAAGTGTGGTTTAAAGGTTATGCTCAAGCAAGTATGTGGAAATTATTTTTATTGGAATAATGGCTGTAAACACAGAAAGACAATATAGCCTGTACTTCCCTTACACTGAACAAATTTAAGAAAAAAACAAAAGGCAATAAAAACTGTTGACCTACTAATTTTTGCACACCCTGGCTGTCCACTCATATGTTTCAATAGAATTTAAAACTCTCCCACAGAGGTCACTGGGGCAGCTCTGTTGCACACAACTTTCCATAGCATCCCTAACATAACCTGCTAGCTCCACATCACTGATTACAATATCCTTTCACCATGTGAGAGGAGACATACATAAGAATTGCATAACTTGATTTTTAAAATTTGACGATATATTTGATAATATATTTGCAGTTTTATCCGCCCACCATTTATAAATCAGTAAAACATACATGCACTCTCTCACCCATTAATTACAACTTTGAAACTCCCAAACTTAACTAAAAGTGGAAGAGCAATTCATTATTATTAATTTTATGAAACAATAAATCTTTAGAAAGCAGAACATTTTCCACTGAAAAATAAAACACTGGAAAAAATTTATTCTACAACTCTAACTAGCACAATAAAAACCTGCATTATTGAATTTAAAATTCTAAGACAGCAATCTGAACTCTTTACAGAAGTGTGGGATGCCCTTGAAACTAGACAATGCCTGTGAAAGCAACTTCTGCTAACTTCACAGGAAGACTTGATTAGTGACATCGTACACAACAGGTTCTTGCTTTCACACACATTGTTTCGACAAACTTAAGTCAATAACTGGGACACTGCAGTGGGAAGGATCTGATTTCATGCATGTACAGTAAGAAACATATACCCATACATAAACTCCAAAGGGGAAGCTGATTATGGGTCTTGAATTGTCTTAACAGGAGGAAAACCCCTAAAACAACCTTCTAAACCAAACCTTTACGCTGCACTTACCAGCAAAGCATTTGGAACAGAGGTTCATAGTCTTGCTGGACCTGAGGCAAGGGGGAAAAAAAGCAGATCTTAAAAATTCTTTGTAGATATTAATACAGTATTTTTTAAAGGAGCAGAGCAAGCTGAAAAGGGAAGAGAAGAGAGATAGCAAGAACTCTAGCTAACCACCTGTACCAATGATCCACAAGCTATGCTATGGCAAGCTTATGAAAACGGTCTTTCAGCTATTTCAAGCTTCCCTCCTTCAAAGCCAGGAGCAAATGGTCTCTCAAAGAGACTCTGGTTCTCAAAAGCACTGACCTACTCTGGCAGCACATTCAACCTATGTAGAAGTGACTAGTGAGGATAGGGGGTTGGCCACTCTGCCTTTTTGCCCATTAAGAAACCACAAGAGCTAGCCTGAAAAAGAAGCATGGAATTTTCATTATGTGCTGAAGACGTGCTCTACTTAAGAAAAATATGTATCCCATATATATTCAGAAACAGGTTGTTAGTAACATGCAATGGATAGGACTGCTTTCACTTACAATGCTTTGCTGCAACAAGATGTGGCACATTAGTATCTAGTACAGGGGTCTCCAACATTTTAGAGCTGTGGGCACCTTTGAAATTTTGACATGGCATGGTGGGTGCAACTGCAAAATGGCTGTTACAAAATGGCTACTGCAGGAGGAGAAGCCAGCAAGAAAATTGCTGCCACAGCTTACCTTCAGTCACACGGTGAAGACCCTTGTACCGAGGTGGCAGCTGCAGCCAAAGCAATGTCTTTAAAAATCTGAACAGCCAATCAAATCTCCAGTGACCAATCAGAAGCCGTGCTGGGCAAAATCCCCCACCTGACCCTTCCCACTTTCTAAAAACACTTGGTGGGCACCAGCAGGCGCCATGGTGACACAGGCACCATGTTGGGGACCCCTGGTTTAGTAGGACAAACTTAACATGAAGTAGACTCTTCACTGGATTCAAAGAAAAATGTTGTTGTTCTATAAACCTCCAGAGAATTTAACAAAAATCCCTAATACATCTATTAACTAAGACAAGAAACTAGTTGGTCGTAATATCGGTTAACCCACAGGCAAGGAGAGCTATCTGGCATTACAGTTTAAACCTTTTGTTCTCCACTTTTTTTTTTTTTGGCCGTGAAGTCACAGCTGACATGGTGACCAGTGTTCTCTCTAAGCTGAGTTAGTGTGAGCTAGCTCACAGTTTTTTAGCCTCCGGCTCACACCTTTTTTGCCTTAGCTCAGGAAGGATAGCTCCAGAGCAAACTAACGTATGCGGTGGCCAAATCGCTCACTCACAACTTTAATGCCAGTAGCTCGTGAAGTAGAATTTTTGCTCACAAGACTCCACAGCTTAGAGCGAGCATTGATGGTGACCCCATAGGGTTTTCAGTGCAAGAGATGGTCTGCCATTGCCTGCCTCTGCATTGCCAACTCTGGTACTCCTTGGTGGCCATGCTTAGCTTCTGAGATCTGATGAGACTGGGGTAGCCTGAACTATCCAGGTCAGGCCTGTTCTCTCCACTACAGTACATATTATTCATAGATATATTGGGGGGAATTTAAAGAATGCACATGCTTTTTGGCCTTTATAATTTCTATACAATTTGTATTTTTATCCTTTTATTCTGCATTATTCTTGAGTCTTGATCAGCTGCTGGTTGCTATGTTATAGAGCCGGAATGGAGGTGTTTGACACAGGAGGGAATAATTAAAACTAGCTTATAACATACAAGCTTGAGAGACATGAACACAGTCATACTTGTATTTCCCTCTCGCAACAAATTAGAGAATAACTTTCTAGTTTAAGATTTATTCCATTCAAGTAGTATACACACTCTAGAACACCTGTTATGCCAACAATCAGTACAGCTTAGCTACCTCCAGGGGGAAAAAACACAGAACAGCAGGCTGAATCAACACCTACACTGATAGCATGTTGCAATTTGGTGCTTTCTGCTTAGAAGTTTGAATTATTTTTAAAAGTCTATATGCCAAGCTGGAGCTTCTCTGAGAAACCATTAAACCCCAGGATGAAAAAGAAAAAGGCAGAGTTCAAAGGGTTCATATTTATGACAAAGAGGCTTTCAACAGTGCGCAAGCATTGAGGCAGGTTAGTTTCAGTTCCAGGTCTCCATGGTAGGGTTTTTTTAAAAAAATCAAATGTACATTTAGGGAAAGCAAAAATACAACAAAACCATGGTAGAAAGAACTGGAACTGAAACACAGGACCATAAATCCTGAAAAACAAACAGCTTGCATGTTATCATTTTAGACAAAGAATATTTTAGACTTTTTTAGGCTGTAAAAGCTCACCGCTATAGGAGGAAACAAAGACAAAATAAATGTAAAACCCAATAAAGTTAATAGACAGGCTCCATTTCCAAACCAAGGTGCAGTGTAAAAGAAAGCTAGAGCAATATGTAAGAATTTGTTTCCAGAAATTTCAGTTTTGAAAGAAAAACACTATCTGCATTCTGTCTTCTAAAATTGATGTACAACAGAGACTGAAAACCTGGTGAATGCTAACTCAGAAACGGATGTATCTTACACACAGCATAGCAAAAGTATATGTACTGCAAGTTGCCTGTAGGTGGGCTAAAACTGACCAAATTAACAGCTGACCTAGAGCATCCATATTGAAGTTCCGTGACATTTTCATGATGGAAAGTGATAGTAGTTATGCACTGCCTCCATTTCACTGAGCCAGTCTGTAGAAACATATACGATATCCTTAAGAAATGTGCTTTATTACATACTGACGCAGTCCTACTCTCTACTGCACGGTCGGGGCTAAAATGTTTGTTTGACGTCAGTGCCTTTCTAGCAAAAAACAACTACTATCTCTTATTGTCAATTATAATAAGACAGACCACAAAAAGTAGTTTTTAATAAGTGACCACATCACTGAACACATGAAGACTTTCAAATTTAGCACTTTAGACACACAACTTCTAGCAACATCCATGCAAGCAATTCAAAACGTTTTCATAAGGTGAGGGATAAGTGGGTCGGTGATCTGATAATCCTGATACACTCTTCACAGGAAAAATTACCGTATGAAGGTGAACTGTGAGATGTTTGATCTGAATTGCCTGGAAGCAACAGAAAATTGGTTTATGGACATTTGCCTTCTCCTTGGGCCATGCCTCCAGCTATGTTACAACTGGTTAACTTTTCTTCACCTGAATCTCAAACAATTATGTTACTAATTTAACAATGAAATTTCAAAAACATTCTTACTATCAAGCTCCCTCCAATTTATTTGTCTGAAAAATTAACCTCACAGCTGGCATAAACAGGGTAAAGCTTTGCTTTCATTATCAACAAAGTCCCTGCATGCAGTTAAGTCTGCGATACCAAGCTAGTAATGCCTCAGTTTTTATGAATACATTTTAAAAATCAAACTTTCATGCCAATTTTCTCTTAGTGAAGAACTGATGATTTGTTCACCATTTAAAACATACAATATTTTCCTTATTTTTGCATCTGCACAGCTTTCCACGTCCAGTGGGAAACTTCTGTTGACACATACTCAACAAATTGATTGGATTATATATGTACCAGGGTCATAAAAGGTAAAGGTAAAGGTTCCCTTGCTCGAAAGCCAGTCGAATCCGACTCTAGGGTTGCGGTGCTCATCTCCGTTTCAAAGCCGAAGAGCCAGCACTGTCCGAAGACGTTTCCGTGGTCATGTGGCCAGCATGACTAAACACCAAGGCGCACGGAACGCTGTTACCTTCCCACCGAAGTGGTACCTATTTATCTACTTGCAATTTCTTGCTTTTGAACTGCTAGGTTGGCAGGAGCTGGAACTAGAGACGGGAGCTCACTCCATCATGCGGCACCCAGGTCTCAAACTGCTGAACTACTGACCTTCCACAGCCTGCAGTTCAGCGTCTTAACCACTTGAGCCACCGCATACATAATTCTAAATCAGCTACATTCCAACTGATGTGATATTAGTGGCATTCTTCAAGCTGGTGCACGCTCAGAACTTAGTGGATTGAACTACAGTTTCCAGGCAGCAAAATAAGGAAACACTAAGTATTTGTGATCCAATTTAGAAGACAATGTACAGACTTGGCTTCACAAATCAGGCTGGCAAAATGGGTGCACCTGGAATACTAGAAACAAACTATACAGCTCCTCTCCCACCAACCCCAAAAGGCAAGATGGAGACAACTGAATTGTGTGAGGGGGGAAAGTAACATCCAAAAGTAAAAAGTGTGTGTACATTTTTTTTGTAATACAATTTAGAACAAGCAAAATAGAAGTTAGATCACAAATTGAGAGCAACACTATCAACCAGAGGACTAGTACTCCTCGGAATGAAGCACATTGCTATTCCCAAAAGGATATGAAGATTTTACCAGTTCTTGCCACAATATTATTTACAAAACCTTAATTTTATTCACTTACAGGAACTTTCAAACTACACATTCTCGTTACTTGGATGAAAGCCCCCTAAAAGTAAAATGCTGATTAACAGCTGTGTACTTGAGATGGTTAGACAGTGTCATAGATGCAACGAATATGAAATTGAGCCAACTTCAGAGGACAGCGGAAGACAGGAAGGCCTGGCGTGATCTGGTCCACGGAGTCGCAAAGAGTCGGACTCGACTGTGCAACTGAACAACAACAACAACAACAACAACAACTTGCAGCCATAGAAATACTCAGGACAATGGCTTGGATTCAGCCATGAGCTATGGAAAATGTAAAGACTTTGTACAGTTCCACTTGTGCAAGGTCTTGTGCAATACCTAGTGCTCAGAAATTAGCTGCACACGTGTAAACACAAGTGGGATACAAAAAGTTTAACTTAGCATGAGTAGCTACGCAGTCTTTTTCCTTGCATTAGAGCGCTCGAACAAGTAAAAATGCAAGCAGAAATTCTGCACAAATCCAATCCACTGTCCACGACTTGCTTATTTACCCCTCTAAGATGTTAATTTCTTCTCTGACCATCTTATTTTTTCTGCTCAACCTCTCTGTTTTGAGGAGGATATGCATCTTCTGATCCAATACAAATAATA